TTCTTTTGCTGCTCCCATATTGCTGCCATCAAGTCTGCTAAGCTGTAGGTTGATTTTCCGCCTCTCGTTTCCATTTTTTTTCGTTCCACTTCTGACACCAATTTGTTACGCCTTTAGTCGTTAATTGATTTTCCGTAACTTCGTTCCGACAAAACTTTAGCGACACAAGTCCTTACTTAATAAAACTGGTTTATTCTTTCTGAATATAACTTTACCGATACACTTATTTCAACATTCGCGCTAAAACAAACGCTATAACGACGAACGTTAACTTCAACAATACTTCCTGACTGCAGTTCAATTACTCACTACCTACACACACTGTTGTCCCGTCACGTTGTGAGCGTCTTATATATATATCAGACAAACATATATCTAGTAAATGCTAGGGCATTCACGAAGGTTCGAGAGAAGTGGCGTGACACTAGTTACGTGATCTCGCCGACGCAACAATATGTAGAGATTAAGGAGCACTATCGATGGCATACATGACATTATCTAAGAAAGATTGAAATCAGCTAGTAATAAAGTGAAAAGCCTCTATGATGTTTATGCCAATCAAACTGAATTCTGTCAAAGTGGCATGTTATGACTGTACAATACTTTCTTGATATATATATATATATTCTGTCTCGCACATATCACTGCCCAAATTGCCTTTCGCTTAATACCAGAACTCGCCATTTGAGCTGGACGATTAGAGGCAAAATATACTCAGAAATGCTATTTTACATATTGATCATATCGCTTCAAAAGTAACGGGATAGGCGTTTAACCCGTAATATTGTGTTGTTATTATTCGTGTGTGTGTGGTAGCATTAAAAGTGTTTTTCAAAATTAGTCAGCTAGTGACACTGATAGTAAAAATTTGAAATCGGTAGTGGATTTATGGAATTTATTTTTGACGAGGAATTAAGAAAGTAAATGTAATATCAGTAATACATAAATTTTCTTCCGAGCACGTGTTGAAAGCTTACTCCACAAGTTTTTGTTTAGTATTGACAATGACATACAGAGCCATTTTGGATTTAGTAATTTAAATCAGTAATTACTAATACTAAAAGTACGCCAAAAATTAGTATTAGTACTAATCGCAAAACTTTACTGCGCGCTAAAACTTTATTTTTTCAGAAGTCTCACTCAAACACATTCTTAAAAGTTGGTAGCCCTTTTTGCAAATTATGAATTTATTTAAAACCTTTCTCTCTTTAACTCTATCTAATTCTAAGTCCTAACTAGGTTTTAGTGCATAGATAACCATGGTGCTTTGTAGTGTAGATAAAATAGTGTAACGTACAAATAACATACCCATCTATCATATGACTATAAACTTAAAAGACTGCGAAGGCAAGGTTTTAACGAATTAGGCCCGATGTATGAGGTATGATGAGATAACCCTACAAATATAAGTTGTTTAGTCTGTGCAGTACTTGTAAGTTGTAGGTTAATATGAGTATTCCGTGAATTTTATAAATACTAAAATAGCATTAAAGTTTCAACTTTGATTAAGACTTGTAAGAGTAAGAACAGCAACTGAAATTTAGTTTGTGAACATTGCATCACACAACATAATCTTATTTTTATGAAGTCAACATTTGAGTTTAAAAACACTTCAAAAACTGGCAAAATTTGTGTTCTAGATATGTTTTACTTTTAGTCCTAAATTCTGTGATGAGTTCTAAGTTGTTTTTTTCTTCTTTAGGCCTTACTTTAGCCTAACCTGAACAGAAGCCCAACATTGTATAATAATTTATATGCTCAGTTTGGCATAATATTAATACTAACATTAACAATATGATAAAATCTAATTTTTAGTCTGTACTTAAGTGTTGGTTTGTTTTGAAGTTTTATTAGTACATCAGTTATTGTTTTATGTAGATCAGGTGTCCATGCTTAGTATAATGTCAGTATGGTGGCCTCTGGGGAACCTTGGGTTACCATGTTGTCTAACACGGAGGAAATCAGCCCAAGATGGAAATGTAGCTGGCAAAAGCTCCTGTACTGTGTGGTAATGGAATCATACCCATAAACGAAAAGTATGTGAAACCTATCTGATACAGCTGGATCTAATCAAAAGTAAGGTTGTGTAGAATGGATATCACAGTATTATTCCTATACTTTAACCATAATGGGGAAACTAGATGAAGTTGATGAGAGTGATATGGATGTTGACAAAGTACTTAAAGCTTTATAGATGTTGTACATCAGCTGGTTATAAGGCAAAAAGAGGGAATGGGTAAATCTTTGTATAAGGGATGAGCTTGTTGGAACTAAAACATAGAAAATGGGAATGGTTGAATGTTTTTATCAGTTACAGTCAAGTACTTCGAGGGTAGATAGTTTTAAATCACATTTGGGACCACTACGTGGTTTTGGGGAAACATACAACCTGGAGCATTTTCTATATGTCTTCTTTTTTTTTTTTACCTCGGAAGGTTTCAAAAGTGACATCCGATATAACTGTGTATTTAATGACCTGTGACCTATAAAGTATTAAATATTTTACCCACCCCATTCTCCTCTACTTTTAATTACTGAATAATGCAACTTTATCACAGAATTTTTTCTATAACTAAATGGATGTTTTTCAACAATATATTTTATAAGTTTTATTAATTTTGTAAATTCATATTTATAAGTACGAAAAATAATTTAAATGTTTAGTTATTTTATTCAGTAACAAACAGTATAAAACAGAAAAGTAAACAGTAATTTAAATGGGCACATAAAATAATATAAAGATTTTATATGCTATCAGTTTGTAGAGGTAAACGGATTTACTTTTAGAATATTTCAGTTTCTCCACCTAAACACATTCTACTTTAATTAAATCGAATGTGACTAATTCTGCTGTAGTCTTATCTTATGACAAATTTTTATGACCTCTGATTATATAGTTTACACAATAATTATGTATATTTTAAGGATTTAATTAGAATTATTATGTGGTTTTGAAGTATAAATTATTACAAACTATTATATTGATGCATTAAATATCCCTCTTAGAGATAAAATAGCAGCCCCCAGATGCTTTACTTGTTGAATACCTCCTGAATTAACTTGAATGCTAAATAAATTATATATTGTAAGACCTCCTTAAAAAGTATGAAGAACTCCTTCATGGATTTAGGGATAGAAATAGATATATGGTGCTTTTGAGAGTACTCCTTAGGCCTAGATGTGGGAATGAATTACTTATTATGAAAGATAAATATTAGATTTAAAGATAATAAGCTTATTCACTATTATTGTAATGTTAGGAGTATTAGGAATAAAATGGTTCTGATCAAAGCTCAAACTAAAATGGAATATTATTATATGATGGGAATTATGAAACTTGATTAGATTTGGAGAAAATTGATACAAAGAATTATTTTGAAGATCCAGGTTATAAGTTATGTGATGGTAATAGACATTGAAGAGAGGGTATGAGGTGAATCTTTACATAAGGCATAAGCTGCAGCCTGTTGGAATTGAAGACAAAAAATGGTAGTTAAAAGTTGATCTGTATGGGTTACAGTCAAAGGATTGAAGGGTAGTAAAGTTTTTTTTTTTTTTTTGTCTTTTCTTACAGGCCTCTTGGTCAAAAAGATTATGTCAATGAGACATTGAATAATCAGGTGAGAGTTGTTACTAATGAGAATACTGGTGCAAAAATCTTGAAAGACATTAAGTTTAAACACATTGATGGAGATTGTATGTAGTCAAGTAATGAGATAGAGAGCAAATTTTTTTGACGTGATTCACGATGTTTTCCTATATCAAATGGTTAGAGAGAGCCAACCAGAAGGGATGCCATTTTAGTTATTGTTAGCCACTAATAATGAGTTGAAGTTGGAGAATATTTAGGGAAGAATGATAATTGAATAATTAGGTTTGAAGTTTTTCTACACATTGAGAAAAGAAAGTGAAATGTTTGTTCCTAATTTTCAGAAAGCCAATTTTGAGGACATGAGATAATATTAGTGAATTTTGGTAACGAAAGTGAAGATGATGTGGGAGAGATTTTAGATATAAATTGTTTTTAATTTAAGTTAGGTATGTTCCCAAGAAAGAAGACAAAAAGATAACAGGGAAGTCCAACTCTAATCGATTAATTACATATATGGACATAAAGGAAAAATCAGGTATAAGAAGTGTAAATTGAGATATAGGTTGGAAGATGTATAGAACTATAGGAAAGATATTACAAAATCAAGAGAGTTTATGAGGAACAGCTGACTGATAACATTAAAACTAACAGCAAGGAAGTTTTATAAGTATATTAAAGGTAAGCAGAATGCTACAATTGGGGATTAGACCTCTGAAGAATACTGATGGCAAGGTTGTTGTTGAATATCTGAGCTTTTTAATGTTTTTTCTCATTTTTCCTTGCAAGATATTATGTTAGCAATATTTCTAATATTGGGCAATTGTTGGGAAGTGCTGGAATAAACCTGAATCATGTATTATTCCTTTGGTGATAAGTAAAAAGATTGAGAAGTTAAAAATAAAGCACCAAAGCAGGACAATATTTTTTTTCCCCCCAGGGAGTTCAGAAATCAGATATGTGATCCTTTTATTTCTGATAGGTTAATAGACATGGGCATGTGCTTGAGGATTAGAAAGTTGTAAATGTTACTCCACTTTAGAAGGGATGGTAAAGGTTTTTCAGCTAGTCTTATTTCTGTAGTAGAAACAAATCCTAGTCTGATGAAAGAAGTTTGGCACAGTCATTTAATGAAATATAATAAAAGAGAACCAATATGAATTTAATAAATTAAATATTGTGGTACTAAATCTGCTTTTTTATGAAGGATGTTACATGTTATCTGGATCATGGAAAGGGTGTACTTAGATTTAAAAAACAAAAACAAACTTTTAAAAAGGTGCCACTCAGAATATGAAAGCCCCATCATTGGGGTTAGGGATGAAAAACTAGTTAATTGGATTATAGGGTTGCTGGGTGAGAGAAAGCAAAATGTTATTAATGGAGCCAATGAAACAGGATTCTTTTTAATACGGGTGCTTCAGGGGTAACTGTTTGAGCCTGTTCTTTTTTTTATTTACATTAAATATATTAGTAGAGGTAAAATCAGTTTTTATTAAATTTTACTGATGACATTAAGCCCTTGGGTATTTCCAACTGAACCCAGAATGACTTAGATCAAATATCCTATAATTATAGTGAATGGGTTACATATTTAAAATAAATGGGAACCCACTCAACTTTGCTGAAGAAAAGGTTCTGGACATAGCAGTAGATAAGACATTTAAATCAATTGAAGTCTTTTTTTGCTAGATGTAAAGCTAATTTAATTTTAAGATTTGTTAATAGATACATTGATTACAAGTTAAATGAGGTAATTATGTTTTTACACAAATCACTAGTTAGGCTCACTTGGAATATTTTGTGCAGTTTTAGTCTCAAATTTTCTTTTTGTAAGAAAGGAAATTGATTTATTGGAGATAGTCCTGAGTAAGGTCACTAGGGTGATACCTGGGAAGAAAGGATTTTCTTATGGAAATAGGATAAGATCTCTCAACTTATTTTCTCCTGAAAAATCAAAGGTGAGAGGTGATCTTATTGAAGTTTACAAGATTGTGCAAGGGATTGTTAGGATAAAAGAATTGATTTCATTATACTATATTCTAAAGATAAGAGGATGAGAAGACACAAGTCTGAGATTTGGAAAAGACAAACTAGGATCCAGTTAAGACAGTTATATTTTTCTAAAGTGATCGTTTATAGAATGAGATGCTATTGGGCTTAGTGAAGGCTGGCTGGCACCTTCAAGAATTTACGAGGGGGGGTAATAGATGGTTTCCTGAAAATTAAAAGGGAGGGATTTAATTTGTTTTTACTTTTTCTTTGGTCCATCGTTAACTTTGTGTTATGTTAAATTGCCATCTAGAGTGGCAGAGACTCAACTTTACAGAAGTTTAAGAAAAGGACTGATGCATTTTTGGGGGATCAGGGCTGGATATAGTGATTAGTGTTCTGTTTGTTGGGGGAACTTTGAAGTTGGGACATCCTCCATGGGCCATAATTTATGAATTTTAATGCTGTCAATAACAACTTTAGGAAACTTTCATTTTATGCAATATTATTGGAAAAAATTAAAGAAATGGTCTAACTGTGTTCAAAAATAAAATAGAGTTATATTATAAATGCTTCCTTATGTTTTTGTCAAATTGTGCAGTAGCTAGTGTAATATAAGTCTGGCTACCTGAACACTTACAACTAGTCTGTTTCATACTCTTTATTACTGCAGCATATAAATATGTTAGTTCAGGGCTTTTGTGTGCAGAGCTGTTAATAAAGACTGTGGAAGGCTATAAAATGACATTAAAAACTGACTGATTCAAATACTTGTACTGTTAGCTTTTTAGAACAGAAAGGAAATGTTAAGGTCCATCAGCTATATGTTTGTTGGTGTATTAATTTGAAATACTATGTAAATAAGTATGGTAAAATATGTACATGTACAAGCTGATTAAAGAAATCTGATACAAATAGCAGAAAATATCAATATTTGTACTTAAAAAGTAATTAAATTGTTTTTAGAATTTGATTACATTTATGTAGAGAACAAATTATGGTGCAATTTGTTTTTTTTTTTGTTTATTTATTTTTAATGAATTACTTCATTGTAGTGTTGACTTGAGGATATCCAGTTGGAAAAATAATAATAGATCAATCTTCAAATGTTTAATAAATTTAAATTCAAAAATAATATTAGAACAGGAAGATAGAGTTCAGTAGGTGTATCAGGTTCCTACTCTAGTATGATTTAAAATTTCAGATATAGTTCACTACTTTTAAATCATCAATTTTGTGTAGAGTACATGAAATTGTCATTGAAAAGACACAAACAAAAGAAGATTTATCATGAATAGTATCCAAATTTTTACTTGCTGTATATTCATTGCAAAATGAACTACAAAATGTCAAAAAGTATAAATATTAATGTCTGAGTATCTTGACCAGTGAAAGGCTTTAGTTTATTTTTGTTTTTTACAAGTTCTAATAATTCTTTATTCATGTTTTGGCAGGCAGGGTGTAAAGTTCCAATAGACACGTAGAAAAAGGCCATACAGTAATGTAACCATGGAAGTAGTGAAGATGAAACTTGAACCTTTGTCTGATGAGGAACAAAATGCTTTGTTGCAAGTCAAGTTGCTGATAAGTGAAAAAGAAACTGTTAAAATTTCACTTAGTAGTAGGTTCTTTTTTTAACTTAAAACCTAATATGTTAAGTCCTGGATACTAAGCCTTTGTAAATTTTCAGTTTTGGCAGTTATGATAGTTTTCAGTTTCTTGTTCATAATTCATACAAAGCAGCTCCAGTTACTTTAGCATATTCCATTTGATGAACAAAAATTCTAGAAATTATTTATTTTTCAATCATATTGGTATACTGAGGATTAGGTTTATTGGATAGATTGATGTTATTGTAATTAGGCATATAAACATTAGTTGGCAATGTAAGTAGACACTTCCTTAAAAAAGTAAGCTTTTAGTGAAAATACTTCAACATATAGCTCGTCATTCAAAATTTCTCATAGTCATTCTTGTCATCTTTTTTGTTATTTATTCGTTGTGGGACAATCAAATTGTTGATATTTAATCAAAGCCTTAAGCGTAGACTGTGATAGAAAATGATAAACTTCAAATCATAATCATTATCTAAACTTACCTGATGATGACAAAACCTTGTCGAAACGTTGTACATTTGCTGTTATGTTAAACTTATATTAAAGTTTTTCTTCATTACCCATTCAAGCCGTCTCCAGCCATTATTGCTCTCAAAGTGGGTTCCTCGTCATCGAATTTAAACTTATGTATTTGTTTCATTACTGAAAATCTTGAAGAAAGTGAATTTAGTGCTGACATAAAGAATGATGTTTCTTTCTATGCTTTTAAATTTTTTTTACAAACTATTGTTTTAATATTTTTCCAACAAACAACATGTAGTTGCTTATTTATATCTGTAATGAAGCAAAAGCTGTGTATAGTTTGACACTGGTTTCTATCCATGATATGATAAAATCATAAGCATTGACAAAAACATCTTACTTCAGCTATAAAACAAGGCTGGTGTTGTTACTTCTTTAGTGTGTTATGCTAGAATGTTTTCTATAGCTTTTACTTCCTTGTTTTTAATAAAATATAAGAAAACTTTAGATATTTAGTTTTGTTGAATTCACAGCCTTTTAAAATCAGTAAGTTAGGGCCTTGAAAATGAGTTTAGACCTGATAAAGGTCCTGGAATTTTTTATTCCATTATCCTGTGCAAATCATGTTTACAGCTCTATGAAATATATATACACTGTATTTAACATAAAAATTTAATCATTATACACAATAAGATTTCTGTGGTTGACTTTATAAGCTAATAAACCTCTACTTTTCACTACTAGTGGAACAAATTACCATACTATTTATTGAGAAAGTACTAGCCTTGTTCATAAATATTATTGAATAAAAGAAACATTGAAAAACATCTAATCAGAGTTTGAGAAAAATTACAGGTGTGTTTTATACGTTGTAGATGTTAGCTTAGGAAGACTCGTGTTTTGCTGAAGAGATTATTGAAGAAGTTCCTAAATTTTAAATATTTGGCTAATTAAATAACAGTATCAAAACATGTAGCTATATCAGTTTAACCCAAAAAAAAATCAACAAGTCTAAATTAATAGTCGTTGAAGATTACTCATTTCGATGATAAAGGTTTGTTATTTTACTATCCTAATATAACCTTGTAAGGTGTGATAGCAAGGGCTTATAATGCATGTTATTTATTCGAGTTAGTTTTTAGAGAAAATTAATATATCATTTATATCTGATCAATAGAAGAAGTTGAATCCTTAAAAGATGAATCTTCACCTTCATTTATCGAGCTTGGAATAGGTAAAGGGAAAAGAGAAGAAAAAAATTATGAAGTAACTGAAAATACTGAGGTAGTGTATCAGTTAAAGTTCTTAGGTTTAGTTTTAAAGAAATTCAAGTACATAATGTTGAGAGACTGAGTATTGTTTTCGTTTTTAACGATTCCTGGATTTCTTGAGCTTTAAGGCCAATTTATGTTTACTGAAATGTTGTCAATACTGGTGAGACACCAAGTAGATGAACTAAAATATTACAACTGTTGAATTAGTATTATTGCAACATTGTTGTCAACTCTATAACATACATAGATTTTACAGATACTTCTTCCTTTTTGTGAGCTTTCTTAATATTAAATAGTTCAGTATTTACTTTATGCCTTCATTTGTAAATATGGTAAAATTGTGATTGGGAAAGTTTCTCTTTTTTCAAAATTAGTGAGTGAGACAAGGTACAAACAGGTGCTTGAGTCATGTAAACTTTTATTATTTGAGAGAGCATACTTCTTGTTATGTATGTGTGTGCCCAAGTAATTGGCTTGAGAAGTGTTTCATGCTTTGCATGTAGGTGTGTGGGTATATAGCTGCATTAAACATACAAACTCTGTCTGGAATTATTGATACAGTATTGCAGTAATGTTTTTTGTAATGAACACTATGACGGGTTCCGTGATACAAGAAGTGCTGGAAGAGTTCCATGGATTCAAAAGGTCGAAAACCACTGATGTATATTAACACTTTCAATACAGGCTCAGTCAATTTGACCGACCATGAGACCTTTTTTGTACTCATTTAAAATCTTTATAGATTTAATACTTATAACTTTCAATATAGTAGGTATATCTTCACGGAATTTAGCAGTCTTTCAGTTAATATTACAAGTCTTTCACATACAAAAAGTCATATTTCTTAGTGAAGTATTTTTAATAAAATAAAATAATTTGTTCATGAATATATTGAGTATTTTCATGTTAAATTAAAAACACTTTTCCTTATCTCAAAAAATTTCAAATTTCCTTCATGTAATCCCTAAAAACCTCCTAAATGCAGTTCAAATGTTTTTTTTTCAGTAAAACTTTATAGTTTATCTATTATTTTCTCTACCATATCTCAAAATGGGATCGGTCATTTTGACCGACCTCATAACCACTAAAAAAAAATCTAAATAAACCTAAAGTAACCTTTTTTCTTTCTAGAATGACTTCAAATTGTAACATTAAACTACTTTCATTTATCCTAAGTGTCTGTAAGTTTGTAACATTATACATCTATTTGTAATTAAATTTTATTGTTTTATTGACCTTTGAACCATGTCTAACTACAATCTGCACCATTATAAGTTTAAATTACTTGAGGAACATGCAGCTCACATTATGTTATCAAATTACATTACCCACAAGCTGCTCATGTGCGTGCCTTGTGAACCATTTTAATTATATCAATATTATTATGTATTTTACTAATCTAGTCTTAAATAACTTAAAAAGATCCATAATTACAGATTTTATTACTTTTACAAAAATAAAGAATGAATATGAAAAACAAGAAATAAAGTACTTGCCTAATCTTTTTTTTGCTGTTGGGTTTCGATAGATAGTAATACACTTAATATGTTTTATTTAATTAAATATTACACTGAAGAATATAGACTAATAATGTGCAAAAAGTAGACAAATTCACTTACCTCTCCACATTTTTATGGTTTTCTATGCGACAAGAGCTGTTACAAAGTCATCCAAGCTGGTCATCAACTTTCCCATGGGAATGAATCTTGTACTATGAAAGAAATTGACGATATTCTGTTCAGAATACAATGTTATACAATACATCATTTGATAAATGAAAACCTTGATTTACTATTGGTTATAGGTAATATATAATAAAACAGAAGAGAGAACTATCAAAGAATTGTGAAAG